TTTCTCCTGATGGGCCACATCCTTCTTGGAGTACACTGCCTGAAACAGGCCCATGGCTTTACAACTGAACAGGGCAAAAGGCTGACTTTGCATGTTTTTTTCAAATTATGTTCTTAATCAGAAATGCATGAAACTGAAGCTTATTTAAAACTAAAAGTATTTTTTATTTATCAAGATTACATCTACTTGTGAGCACTGTGAATTCCATGTCTAACATCTGGAATTTCCCTTCTCTGAATCCTATTGAGATGGGGCAGCTTTAATTTCTGCAAAGGATTCTGCCTGATGTTCTCTAAAATGGGCAAACAGATTCAAGAATTTTTCTGTACAGGGGAACATGGGCCAGAAAGATACTTGTTGGAATTACCAAGTCACATCCCCCAAACATTACACTACGTTACAGCATGACTCCTGTCAAATATACTCAATGTACTCAGCTCCCTGAGTATGGGTCTTTTTTTGCTCTCCTTCTAAAAGAAGACTGAAATGGAAGTTCAGTACCTAATTTTCTCTGCACTCACTCACAAGTAGTTTAGACTCACACATGAATCTTCTAGTACTATTATCTTAAATAGCCTTCCAATCACTGTGATGCTAATTGATTTAACACCAATTAGCATCAAGTATTTCTATACCTCTGATGCATTTTTACAAGAGAAACTGTAATAACTGAAGAGCCTTTCAGACCAGGACAGCCCAGGGATGCCCTTCCTCCTGCAACAAGCCCTCCTTCTGCCAGGCGTGCTGGTTTAGACACAAAGGCAGTTAGTTAATGGTCCTTCTGCCTCACATGTCAAAACTGAATCTGACAATGTTTTTCTAAAAAACTTAAAAAAATCAAGACTGCAAGCTCAAGTTACCACTGGATCCTATTGCCAAGGCAACCCTGAGATCCCTCTCTTTAATTACAAAAAGACAGACACCGTGGAATCTTTAGTTTGGAATCTAGATTGTAAGAACTGATTTGAAATTTAGACAACTACAAACAATCCAAATAATTCTACTTTCTCCAGCCCTGTAGAAGACTAGCTCCTTCTATTTTAGAATGCCAAATAAAAATCTTAACTGACCATTGTTCTATACTTCCCAGCTCCCAAGAGTGGTCTTCATATTAAAACAAAACACGTACTTTAAAGTCAAAGAGGTACTTCATAGGCAAGAGATTTTACACATACAGACACTCACAGTTACTTATAGGCACATATTTGTCTTACCTTTGAAAGAAAGTTAAAAGTTACAGCATGAAGGATCATGAAACAAAAATAAATCAATTCATATTCTAACATGTTTTTATTGTGTCCTTTATTGTGTTCAAGATCAACTGCTACTGAAAACTTGTCCTTTCAGGCCTTTTGAATAAAGTCCAGAAGACTAGAAATTGGTTCCTAATATACGAAAAGTACAGAGGGCATCAGTTTAAGCAATGGCAGCGCTAGCGCCACTGAAGGAACTTTTGATAATAGCTTCTAATATGATAATAGTTTCTAATATGATAATAGTTTCTAATAAGCCTAAACCAAGCAGATAGGCAAAAAAACCACGTAAGCCTTGTGCAGGAGGACTATAGAATTGGAGTTAATAACAATACATACCGAGCCACTGAGAATGTCAGAAACAGTATAAGGCAGACAGCAGCAACTGACCCTAATCCAACAGCAGTCATGTATTGTGGAGTCGGTGCTAAATCTGAAAGAAAATATTAAACAATTCAAACAAATACCAAATAGTGTAGCTTCTGTCCCGTAACTGAGTCTGCTCAAAGCTACAGTACTCTTAACAAAACCCAGATGCTGGACTGACTGCTCAGACAAGTAATAATGGAGCTGACTATCTAGTAGTTACCATCCAGTTGAGGAAGTAGGATTAAAATGCTGTATTTCTCAAAAGTAATTACACTTATAACTACTCTACCCTAACTATTCTGTGATTCTATGATTCTCCATTCCTCAGTTTCCTGTCTTTTCCTTTCTTTCCTTTTTCTTTTTTTACATTTCAGATACTTGATGTCAACATTTTTCCCTCTCATCACTGGCAATTTCAGTCTAAATCATATTCCAAAGTGGTCTCTGGTACCAGAAAATCCTAGTGCTTTATTAAATGGCTCAACGGATTTCCTTTAAAATTTGTGCAATCTAGGTAAGACTTCTCCTCCTCATTCTTTTATTTATTTATACTTTTTTCCAAGTGACAGAATAGAAATAAACCTGGCATCAACAGCTTTACCCAAGCCCATAATATCAGAAGTCACACAGGGATAGAACAGAAGGCTAACTGTGATTTGCTGTCAAAACCAGAATTACTCAGAAGTACTGTTAAAGGTAACTTGAGAAGACAGGAACTCAATCAATCCCTTCCAGCCACCTCTATTCCATTTTCAGCATTAGTCAAAGGTTACCTATTCCTTACTGGGCTTCCCACAGACATCTAGAATGCTGGATCTTATTTCTGCAAGATTCCATAACTCCACTTGCTGTTAAATCCTGCAAGCACGGGTATTTAATACTTTATCAAAAATTCAAATTCTCAAAAGAGCAGCATTTTTTCAGTGAAATTGCTGTATATGTCCAAATATGAATCTAAGCGCCTGAATATCAGGAAAGTAACTTCTGTTACTTGAATTATTTTTTGGCTCATCTGAATGTACAGGCACAAAACTGATTGGGCATGCACCCAAAGCACCCTCAACAATTGATCTGAAGCAAAAAATGTCACACAAAGCCTAAAGGAGGACCTCACCAGTTTACCATCCTTCCCTAGCACTGCTCAGTGAAGCAAGGCTTGTATCTGTGTAGCACCACACCTGTAAATTTACTGTAAGTACAGTAAAATAAAGAATTTCAGACAAGGACCCTACAAGGAGACTGCTCATCTTAAAGGCATGTTCGATTTTGGTAAAAGTTATACTTGTTCTCGTATCACTGTAACACCAGTTTCCATACAGAAGTTATGCATCTCTAGAGCAGATGTCAGATGCCTATAAAAATGAAAAAACTGTCTTCCCTAAACATTATTATGTATGTGGTGAAAAATCCTCAAAATGCATTTTACTTATTTGTGACAGAAGTGTGCTTTTAACAGCTTCCTACCACTGTCTATGACGATTTATCATACAATGTAGCTTTGTCTAGACACCATCTGAAACATTACCATTTGGTTTAGATTTATGTACAGATTTTCCTTCCATACAATGTGAATTAAGAAATACTTCTCAAAGGATCCAGTGAATCAAGAAGAACCTTTCATCCTCTCCAGCTCCAGAATTACATTAGGCCAAGGACACTGCCTAGAAGTATATTCAATATAAAGGCAAACAGATTTACAATAGAAAGCCAAAGGCCTGGTCTGGCCTGCTCCCATCTTCTAATGGCCATTCTTTTAATCCCAAACCCAAAATCCACCTACACACAAGGAAGCCTCTGATGATGCTCTGTAAGCAGAAAAATTACAAATTCAGAAGGGGACAGTTTTCTGTCTTTCCAGACCTCTTGCCTACAGTTCTAGCAATAGAGCCCTGAAACCTAGGGAATCCTTTATTACAGCCAAGTCTCCACAACCACAAACTACCTAAATTATATTTAGAATATAATATATATATTATACAGTGTGGTGGTAAATGAACTAAGCAACAACAATAAACAACAAAAAGAAACCTAGAAAAAAACCCACAACTGTCACCAGATCAGTAATAGCAATAGTCAGACATGGGTTTTGTGAACAGGGGAGGAGATGCACCTCAAGCCCTCCATACACCACATGATTCAGTCTCATTCCAAAGTACTGTCACACTCTTCAATGTCACTGCATTTCCAAACTCTGATTTGCAAGTCTTCCAACTCAAAAGCACAATTTAGTCTTTAGGGACTCTAGTGGTGCCACTTCCTTTGTTAGGCAAGGCAAATGTTTGCATATTTTCTGCCACTAACCTTTCCAGTCCTCACAGTCAACCACAATTAATGGCAAATTTAGAAACAGCCACAGCAACTATTAGATCACGCTGCCAAGCACAGCCATGACAACTTCTGTTTTCTCATTGAAGGAAAAATGGACTTACTTTTAATTTGTGCCCAAATGGCACAGGACTGTGTTCTCACCTGAAAATGAAAACATAAAAATCACTGTTTCTCATGAAAAGAATTCATTAACACCCCATGGAAAGCAGCCATCCACAACACACTGTATTTTATTGCTATTTGGAGTAGAATTTATTATTCCCCTGATAGCAGCCTCTAGCTGGTCTGTAAGATTATAAACTACAAAGACAGAATTAGAAATAGAGCTTTGATGAAAGGCTGGCTCTAGTCTCTGGATATTCGCAGTTATCTAAATTGAAGATAGAACCTTTCCTTCCACATCTGTACACTTGAAAGAGTTCTGCAGAAACAAGAAAACATTTTGCCAGGCATATACACTTTTCTCAGATGACTTTTTATTAGGCTAATTTTAGCAGGCTTTTCACACAGTAAGAGTCACTTTGATTCCAATTTTCAAAAGAGCTCACAGCTTTTTTCCTGAAAAGACTGCATGTCATCTCCACCTTTCACAGTCCTGCTTTTACTTCTGTTACAGGCATAAATTGTTTGATAAAAAAAACCTGATGCTGATACTGAACAAAAGCTATGCTAAAGAAATTATTGTCAGGTAAGTTTAAACTCCAAAGATGTTTTTTAGTTCTTGCCCTTCACTATGAGCCTGGACTCTCTGCACAGCATGGAATCTATAACGTAATCACTGGAGATTAAAATAGGTAACCGATGGATCCAAGTTATTTAAGTAGTCCCTCATGGAGAAGGCCATTTCCACACAAAGGACAAGCTGTTCCACTGAAGTAAGGTTTTCATGATAATGACAGTAAATTCTCATTTAAGAATTCAGTGCCAGGTTGGACGAAGCCTTGGGTGACATGGTTTAGTGTGAGGTGTCCCTGCCCATGGCACGAGGGTTGGAACTAGATAATCTTCAGGTCCTTTCCAACCCTCACTGTTCTGTGATTCTAGATTTGTTCCCAAATCCTCCCCTGGTCTCCATTATCCCTGTATTCCGATTGCCAAATTAATCAATACGAAAAATAGTAATTTCTATCATCTTCGCATTTTCATTATCCTCCAAACTTCTTCCTTGTATATTCCCAATGATCTCATCAGATTATCTGACCAGCCTTTTAACACATTTTATTGTCCTGCACAACTGAAACATGCACTTTAAGTCTTGAAAAATAAATACTGCACAGCAGACACCCTTCTGAGGGCCTCCAAATCTCAGCAAGGGATAAATGAATGTGGACTCTGTGGAAGGGAACAGCTTACCTTAACTGTGTCCACAAAATTCTATCTAAACTGATTTTCTCACCCTTACCACAAAGAAAATATGTAAGGTATATTAAGAAATAATGGCAATAAAAAGTCACAACCAAGCCACAATTTTGCAGCACGTATGATATGAATTGTACCATTATCAGCATGAAAGGGTGTGGAGCCAGAAGGGACTCTGGAGGATGCCAGAAAACAGAAGTACAAAAATGAGAACATTAGTTAGGAGTCTATGATAAAGACACATTAGAAATGTGTCTGTATGTGAAATGTGTCAAATGGGAATATATTCACAAGTAAAATACATTACAGAAATGCTGATTTCACATGTATTCATAATTGAGGGCCAATTAAAGAGCAGATTTTTTAAAAAAGCAGACTTCTAAATATTAACTTTTGAATCAAAATTCAGTTACTTAAGCAATCAGATTTTCAGAAATTCTCAAAACCCACCAACCCTCAATTTATAATTCTGAATTTCTTAACCCCTTAATACCAACAGTTGTACAAAATACAAGAGCATAAGAATTGAAGATAAACCAGTACTTTGAGCCACCGGTTTAAGTTCCATTTCAAAGAAGCAGTGCTTGGAACCAAAGCTTTTTGGTATTTGCAATCCTAATATTTATGATGGCCCTTTATTTTTAGGTTTTTCCATTGTTTGCCTTTTGGCATTCAGAGTTGCTCCAACATTACAATGACATAAATATCTGTAAGGAATTACAAGTGTTATTTAAAGACCTTCACATTTAATCTGTCAACTAAGATCCCTGCAACATCATGAAAAAAATTAACACAAAGGTAACATCTTCCTCTTCTTTTCCCAGTAACATTTCATTCAACAGGTGTAAAGGAAAGGTTTTAAAACATGCATTACCTTATTCCACTCACTTATTACCCTTAAAAACACACAATACTCTTCTCCCAGCTTTAAAGGAGCATTATAGAATTTTCCATAGTAATGTCTGTCTCCAAGAGAAATTGGCATGTTATCAGCAACATCCTTTGCTCGAAATTCAGCTGCCACATATCCTTTAACATCAGTGGAGTTACTGAAGAAAGTTGCAGCAGCAAAGGAATCACAAATAAAGGTGCTCTGCAAATCCAGAGGAAGTACAATGACTTGATAAAAACTAGAGTGAAACGAAAAAAGTAAACATTAGCTCTCACTTCAATGTACTAATAAATCATTCATTAATTCACAATGTCTTTTCACACATATTTGTAGTGTCTTAACTGCTTTCTATTGTCAATGTCCAACAGAAATGATTTTTGTACTGAAATATTTCTCTGTGTGTTCCATCACATTTTGAACAAAAGCAATGCAAGCACAGATCAGAGCTCCTTCTCCCAACATACATGTTAACTTCACATGTTCGTTCATGTTCAGAAGAGACTTACTGCAGGCTATATCTTGCTCCTCTCATCTAATGCATAAGTTCACCTATAAAACAATACATCATTGGCATTTAAAAATGAGCCCCTGAAACAAGATTTTTTACTGTTTAAAGCATGAGAGGGCAGACAATACTTGTAAAAAAAATAAATAAAAATCAAATTTGTCTTCAGACATCTCAAATAAATGTTTTATCTGCAGTATCCAACCATAGAAAGATTTAAGTACTAGGTTGTTATGACAATCCTATCCTGAAATGTTATTAGCTTTCAAGTATTTTCTGTTCTAGTGCAATGTTGAATTACAATTACCTTTTCCTTCTATCACCGACAGCACTTAGAAAGCTGTAAATCATATTTTGGCAGTAATACATTAATATTAAAACACTACTTCAGAATATGCATAAATACAGATATTGCTCATTTTCTCTGGCTCTTAGAAAAAACAAATGTAATGCTGCATGAGTTTGCTGGGAAAAAAAACACACATGGGTAGAGCTGTGCTTGGATCCATCAATAAAAATCTACTGTGGTTTCCCTGTGGATAAAGGTGAAAAAAAAAACAAAACCCCACAAAAAAAAAAATCCACAAAACAACAGTGAAAACACATAATTATAAAACACAGAATTTTTCTCCAGAAAGCAGGGAAGACTCTGAAACCAAATACTGCTCTGCTAAGGGAAAAGAAATTGGGAGCTACAGCTAAGTTTTCTCCCATTGCTAACAAAACTAATCTAACTCCCACAGAAAGTTTCAATATGTAAGTAACATCAATCTGCAGAATATTTTTTGAAAGGGTGAAGAGTGCACAGAGACAAACCTGATTGGTCCATTTTGATCTTCTGCTTTCCGAAGTCTGAGCAAAGGTGCAGAACCTGTTACTGCAACAAATTCTACATCTGGGAAAGGGGGATCTAGAAAATGAAAAAATACTATCACTTCAGAGAGGTTTTAGAAATACTTCACCATGAGAGTTCCTAGCTATTTTTTCCCCCAAAACTTCCTATGTTAACTGAGCCTCAAACCCCTGACAGCTGAAGTCTGTAGGCAACATGAATAGTCTGGTCAAGAAAAACACACAGTGAATACCAGCATGATGGCATGGCAGCCCTAACTCAACCCTCTGTACTGACATATTTATCTGCTAACTGGGAATAACAGAGATGCCCCAAAATGATGGTAGACTATGGAGAACCGAGACAGGAAATAGTTGGTAGAAGCAGTATCATTTATTAGACTAACTGAAATGGTCAAGGAGAAGAAAAAGTTGAAACTCCAGGCACACAGCCCACTACAAGAAATAAAGGAGCATCTGTTAGTGCCAAATGCGCTTTCAAGAAAGCAACTTTCTTAGTTAACTACTCACAGTCAGCTAACAATATCCAGTGCGTTAAACTGGATTTCAGTATGGATACACACACAGCTCCAATCTGGTCTAGTGGAATTTACATCAAGGCAAAAACGTAACAAACACTTCTGCCCCTAATTTCAATGGCAATGATGACAGCTGCACACTGATACGGAAATTACCACTATCAGCTTGGCAGAAAAAAATGAAAAGAGATTCAGTATGTACAACCAAGGGGGCAAGAGTGTGAAGCATGGATACTACTTACCCCAGAAGTCTGAAAGAACTAGCACAGATATTTACAGGTACAGCTAGGCTGTTTGAAAACTGCTCGGTCAAGCTACTGATGTGTTATCTGACTGAAGAGTAACAAATGCAGTGCTTATGTACAAAAACTAAAGCTTCAGAATACCATTAGAAAGAATAATCAATGTCATGGAGGCAAACAAAAGTAAATCAATGAAGATCTGCAAAAGCTAAGACACATCAGACTAAATGATGTCTTGCTGAGACTCATGGAGTTTTCAAACAGCTGGAATACAGACTGCTGCACATATATACTGAAATAGGAAATCATTAGTTCAGCAGGAGAAAAAATGTTAAGTGGGTAAGTAACTAGTAAATAAAGAGCTGTCAAAATACACCATGTTGGAAGCAGAAGTACTGGGATGCAGGAGGGTTGCTAGAAGAGTTCCTCCAAGGCTAAAGTAAGGGGTAATGGGTTAAAACTTAAACAGGGGAAGTTTAGATTGGATATAACGAGGAAATTCTTTCCTGTTAGGGTGGTGAGGCACTGGAATAGGTTGCCCAGGGAGGTTGTGAATGCTCCATCCCTGGCAGTGTTCAAGGCCAGGTTGGATAAGGCCTTGGGTGATACGGTTTAGAGCGAGGTGTCCCTGCTCATGGCAGGGGGGTTGGAACTTGATGATCTTAAGGTCCTTTCTAAACCTAACTATTCTATGATTCTATGATTCTAAAGTAAGTGCTAAGTCTGGCATTCTGCTAACAATCATGGTGCAAAATCCCTGTGCATACAGATGAATTTTGCTGCTTAAACAATGTTAGTGTAAAAAAAAAGCAGAATGGAGACATTATGCAAGAACAGCTGAATCACCTTTACAGCTGTTTCGAAGAAGTGGGATGAAATTCACCAGTGTGAAGTACATAATGGTGAAGTAGTTGGGGCTATAACTATATTCTATATATTCTCTCTATATATTCCTATATATTCTAAGCTGCTTTGAGTAGCAGGAAAAACATATCAGTACATCTCAGAATGAATGTTAATAAACAAAATGATCATAGGAAAAAAAAAAAGAAAAAAGACTGCTCTAAAAAGTACATGAAACAGATTTCTCTAACACTAGAATATTACACTAGAGGTACAGAGGGTCCAAGTGTGCCATTTCAGTGTCTGAAGTTCCAATCATCAGTTCAACAGAGCTAAGTGAAACCAGTCCAGAGGATGGCAAGAAAGATTCAAACAAAAGAGAAATTATGATACATGAAGGAACCAAAACCTGGTCTTTGTATCCTATGAGAAATAAAGCCTACATGATCTTTGCTTTAAACAGGTAAAACATGGGAAAGGAACAACTTAAGCACAGTATGCCCAAAATAAATACAACAGTTCATATGAAGCATCCCTACCAAGAAAACCCCCACTCTGCCCCTGGCAAAAACCATCCTTAAGAGAACCTCCTGAAAGCCTGCCTAGCAGACTGAATTCCTGCCTTTAACAAGCCCTCTTCAAAAACATGCTACAAGTGAACTATCAGTAGTTCAATTCCTATAAACAGCTAAGAATGTTTAAGGTTGAAATAAGAGTAAGATTTTTATCTAGCAAAACCTTACTGTTCTACAGGGGCCTTCCCCAAGCAGAGATAGGGCAGAAAACTCTTTCAGATAGTTGTCTGAGTTAATGAAGTGTATTGCATGGCTGCCTGCAAGAACAGAAAATGGTATTTAATTCAGAGGGTCTTCTCAACACTTCTGCAACTGCAGATATTGAAAAACGTATGGCCAGTATTTCTATCAGAACAAAATGAACACACAATATTTGTCAGGCAACCTTTTAGTCCTTTGCACCTTGCAAACATAAGCAAATAGAATTTAAGAACTGTAAACCCTCCCTATAATTTCGGTCACTCCTCAGCACATACATTGCCAGTGGACGGTGTGAAAGGAAAATGCATCTGTCCAAGCAGATTCATCTGGAACATTTCTCGTACCTTCCTCTCCTTTGGCATCCAATACCAGCAGGAGACACTGTTATTAATTTGTCTTGAGAATGTTCCAATTTGTAGGAAAAACTTGGGAATTTCCTCTTTAATGCCAAACATTATGTCCACTGTATGCAAGAGTTTTGAACCCTTTTTTCCAGGTAAGCAGTGCAAGGGTGAACATAGGGCAAAAAGACTGCTGAGTAAGTTCACAAAAATTTCATTTTTTTATTTTCTGTAATTTGATAGGAAAAATGCAGAACATGAAAATAAGCAGCCATCCAGCACTGCCAGTGCTAGTAAGCGGGCAAAAGAGAGCAAAATCTTACATCTCACACACACACACACACACACACACAGTGCTCTTAATGCTTGGAGTCTTTTGCCATTTTTAGTTGCTGGTAAGAAATAAAAATTATTACAAATATCAAGCATACCAAAGGCAACCTGCCTCTTTTAGTAAGAAAAGTTAACAGACAAAATAAAAGAAAGAGTAAGAATAAATGAAAGGAATTAATTTAATTTTTGCTTCAGTAACCAGAAAAGAAACTGAAGGAGCTGTTCCCTACAGAGTATTTGTCCACTGCGAACTTTTAATAAAGCACCTTTCCAGCAATTTAACATTTTTTTTTAATGTCTGCTCTGAGGTCATCATAAGTTCCAGATTTAAAAATCCACATGGAAAAAATACTGACTTAACATCATGTAGAACAGTGGGAGGGAAAGGGGGAATGCTACGAAGAAAGGGTGTTTGCACTAGGTGAGCTGTAAGAAGAAAGCAAGATCCTCCAGTCTGTTCTAGTGCTGTCTTTGTTAAAGGTTTTGGAATTTTTTAACTCCTCACCAGCAGAACAGGCTAACGTAACTGTAGCAGCATCAGGTAAGTACAGAAGAACATAGAAAGAAATGCAAATATGTCCAAAGATAGTCCTACTCTAAACACCTCCTTGTCACAGCAATGCTATGTTACTAACACCTGGACATTTCATATACTGGCTCATCTGCCACAGTTAGAGTGCATTTGCTGAGTTTGTCTCTAAACGTGAAGGCAGATAACAGGAAAGAAGGTACACGCCAGGAATTTCACTGCAACAGCTCTGGGATACAGCACATGCCTCAAAGCTGGAGGAAAAGCCAGCTTCACTGTAATCATGCCCTTCAGAAAAACCTAGCAGTTCCCTTATTAGCTACCGTAAAAGCAATGGAACAGCTGCATTTCTTTATTTAATCCTGGAAATTAACTGTTTACTTCTCGTTTTAAATTCCTCTTGGTTGCCAATACCATTTATTGTGGCAGTCTGAAGACTTCACAGGCAAACTGCTGCAATACAAGGAACACGGGCAGCTCTGTGACATTCTCCATTAGTGGTAACAGGAATATTTGATGTCTTTCCCTGTCATCTGACCACTTGTATAGCTCTGAACCTGTAACTCTGGGACAACACTACTTAGCTTTGAATACACAATGAATGCAAGAAAGGTTGTAAGTTTCCTATATACAATACGGAGAAAAATGAATGCACAGATCTATTTTTATCCTACCCTATATATTGATAAGTACAAAACCTGTTAAACTGAATGACTAGTAGCTTATTAAAATAAGGTGCCAGCTTGGTGCCAGCACTGCCCTCCTCACAGACTGCCTTCATTATTTTGTGTTGATGATAAAGCTTTAAAAATACAAACAGAAATGAACAAGAGAGTCCAAAACCAAATGACAACACTTCCCAAGATCAGGGAAATCAAATCAAAGATTCCTCTTAAGGCCAAGTACTAGCTGAAGTAACACAGTTTTGGTGATAATAATTTCCTTCAAACAAGTGATTTTTTTTAATGGTTATTTCAGGGCTTAATGACCAAAATACTTAATTTTAACCAACTACGTAAAAAACAGTGCTGTAAAATAAAAATAAATTTTAAAAAAGAGATACAGATAAACTGGAAAAGTTTCATATGTATTACTGTCTGAAGAACCAATAAAGTTTACTGTACATATTAAGCACACTTGTTTTAACAAGAGTGAGAAGAGATTTTTAACTTGGAGAAAGACATTACTTAAAGAAGGGACGAAAGGAAAAAGTTTGAAAAAAATAAGACCACATCTAACACAAAATGACCATATAAACCTTCTTCAAAGACTGGTCATCTCTGGAAATCCCACTCATGTGATCCCTCTGCTGACTTTGCTCTCCTGATCTGTGGGTGAACGTTATGGCCTCCTGATCCTCACAGGAAAGGTATGGGCTCAGTGAGGGTGACAGTAAAACTAAGACGAGAACTACTGCCCACTGCCATGCCACCAGCCAAGCACATCTCTGCTGGCCGTGCTGCTGCTTTACCTCCT